TTGGTCATTTCACGCGTTGCACGTGCGCGCTCTTGCAAGCACGTGCGCGCAAAATGACCTTCGTTCCGCAAATCTACATAACATGCCTACTGACCCTAAAAAGGTTTCACCTAAGTCGGACGTGTAGTTTACAAGATCATTCGCGGAAAAGATTTTCCCAGGAAGAAGAAAAATAATAATAATAATAACTAGTGCTAATTGTAACGGGGACCGTTACAGATGTTCCCCAAACGCTCCCCATCTCCCTTTTGGTACCATATTCCCTGTTAGCTTCATTAAATAAGAAAAACTTTATGCATTTGAGACTTTAACAACGTTTACCCAGAAGGGTACCAAGTTCATTCAAATTTTAGCATTGTACGCGTGTGCATGTGAATGCATGTGCGTAATAAACATATCATCTTGTCTACACAATCTATATACTTTAATATACTAAATATTAAAGTATTTAATCCAAAAGTATTTAAAAATACGCTCATTCAAGTGTATTTTTGGTATTACTCATTTCACGTGCACGCATGTGCATACATGAGCATGGTGTCATACCTTCTTGTAGAAGTCCAATACATCTATCTATGTTCCAAATCCCACCCCGTTTGGTTGAAAAGCAAGGGAGTTCTAGCTGATTAAAATTTCAGCCAATCAGATTGCAGCGTACGTTTTCGCACGTGTATGGATGTGCATGGGGATTATACCTTCTGGTAGAAGTCCATTATATCTATCTATGTTTTAAATCTCATCATGTTTGGTTGAAAACTAAGGGAGTTATAGCTATTTAAAGTTTCAGCCAATCAGACTGCAGCACACGTGCATGCTCGTGTTTTCTTGAAAATTGCTATATATCATGTTGTAGGATATCCTAATGCATGGCTATGTTCAAATTTTCAAAGGAATTCATCAAAAAACAAGAAAGATATTGAGACTTTAGTTTCAGCCCATCAGAGCGAAGCGCACGTGCATGCGCGTAAGATCTTGCTATTTTGACCATGTCATATTGTCTATGCTACGACTATATCCTTATATTATGAGTTTCAAAGCATTTCATCAAAACGGTAAAGATTTACGTCTATATCAATTAAATAGGTCATTTCACGTGTTGCTCGTGCGCGCTCTTGCAAGCACGTGCACAAAAAATGGCATGGTGACAATGTCATCTTATCTACATTTATAATATGTCTACATATTCTAAATATCAAAGCATTACATCGAAAAATGTAAAAGTTACGGCAATTTCAAGTATATTGGTCATTTCACGTGTTGCACGTGCGCGCTCTTGCAAGCACGTGCGCGCAAAATGACCTTCGTTCCGCAAATCTACATAACATGCCTACTTATCCTAAAAAGGTTTCCCCTTAATCGGATGTCTACTTTAAAAGATCATTCGCGGACAAAATTTTCCCAGGAAGAAAAATAATAAGAATAATAATAATAAGAAACAGAGTAAAAACAATATGTTCCCAAACTCCGTTTGGGGAACATAACTAGTGCTAATTGTAACGGGGACCGTTACAGATGTTCCCCAAATGCACCCCAACTCCCTTTCGGTGCCATATTCCCTGTAAGCTTCATTAAATAAGACAACATCTGTGAATTTTTGACTTTAACAACGTTTTCCCAGAAGGATACCAATTATATTCAATTTTTAGCATTGCATCCAAGCGCATGTGAATGCATGTGCGTTATGACCATATCATCTTGTTTACACTATTTATATATTTTAATATACTATATATTAAAGCATTCAGTCCAAAAGTAATAAAAATCACTCATTCAAGAGTATCTTTAAATATACTTGTTTCAAATGCACGCACGTGCTTGCACGTGCATGATGATCATACCTTCTTGTAGGAGTCCCTTACATCTATCTATGTTCTAAATCCCATCCTGTTTGGTTGAAAAACAAGGGACTTATAGCCATTTAAAGTTTCAGCCAATCAGATTGCAGCACACGTGCATGCGCGCAATTTCATGATTTTTTTTTATATCGTTTTGTAGGATATCCTAATGCATGACTATATTTTAAATTTCAAAGAATTTCTTCAAAAAACAAAGGAGAAATAGCAATTAAAAGTTTCAGCCAATCAGATTGCAGCACACGTGCATGCGCGTGATTTCATGATTTTTTTTCTATATCATATCATAAGATATCCTAATGCATGACTATATTTTAAATTTCAAAGAATTTCGTCAAAAAACAAAGGAGATATTGCCATTTAAAGTTTCAGCCAATCAGCTTGCAGCACGCGCACATGCGCATGATTTAATGAAAATTCTTATATATCATGCGGTAGATCCTTATAATGTAGGACTATGTTCAAAATTTCCAAGGATTATGACAAGAAACAAGAAAGTTATTGAGACTTTAGTTTCAGCCAATCAGAGCGAAGCGCACGTGCATGCGCGTGAGACCTTGCTATTTTGACCATGCTATCTTGTCTATACTACTAATGTATCCTTACATTATGAGTTTCAAAAAATTTCATCAAAAAATAGAAAAGTTACGGCAATATCCATTATATTGGTAATTTCACCTATTGCACGTGCACGCTCTTGCAAGCACGTGCGCGCAAAATGACCTTTGTTTGGCAACTCTACATAACATGCCTACTAACCCTAAAAAGGTTTCACCTAAGTCGGATGTGTAGTTTACAAGATCACTCGTGGACAAAATTTTCCCAGGAAGAAGAAAAATAATAATAAGAATAATAACTAGACTCTTGTTGCCATGGCAACAAATAAGTCTTCCGTTCTTCTGAATCTGTAAGAATTTGCCTTTTCTGTGCAAGAAATCATAGATATCATATGTACTGTGAAAGAAAAACTGCAAAAAGTCCTTTCAGTACTTAACGTACTTTGATTTTCATGAGCAATCTTGCTCTATTGCACTATAGCACTCATAAGACATACACGTGTATCATAGACAAACCAACAGACGAACGAACACCGTACTCTCATTAACTTTACTGTGTATATGTTGGGGCAGAATTGTGATGGTGTTATAAAATTCTCATGAACTAAGTTAGTACCGCATTTAACGTAAATTTAAGTCAATGATTTTTCAAGTAATACATGTAATGTCGAGATTTGCCAGCAGAAGGATTATTCAATGAGAGGAATTATTCAGCAATCGATTGATTGATTATATGTTGTTTAACGTTTCTCTTGAGAATTTCTCAATCATATGTAGTTTCTAAGCGTCCACTCACTGGTGGAGATTGCAAAATGTTGTCCTATAATTTGGCGCTTATCGCCATTGACCAGTGAGGAATCTTTTTGAGCCAGTACCATCTGACACACGGGACCTCGATTTAAACGATGCTATCTGAAGGACCGCTATCAACGTCCCACAATTGAAGTTAATAATACAGATTTATGTCACTCTAGCCATGTTTTATTTTATTTTTCATTTCACTTTGTTGCATCAGATTTACTTGAAGATCATATACTTATATAGAGATCATTTCGAACAACTTAGCAGTGCATACAGCGTCCGGTGATTTTGATTTTCAGGTCAAAAGATGTGCACTTCGTGTGATACTTCTTTAGCAGAAAAATATACAGGGCGTGACCATGACGAACTATGAAATCAGAAAACATTTAATAAAGAATGGATACAACTGATTTTTCGTCTATGTAAATGGATTAGGATAATCGGGGTTAAAAGGGAATCTCTCTCTCTCTCTCATTCAGTCGTTAATTTCAATATCTTGCGTACTGAAAAATCTATTATAGAATTTCTACATACATGTAAATGGTAATTATAGCCAAATGGTCAAGTTTTAAATCTATAACGAATTTAAAATTCAAATGCCTATAGTTGCAATAATGTCTCCGAATATAAATCAAGAGGGGGGGGGCTTCAAAAGAATTACATACTCAGTAATTTTATGTTTTATGAATTATAAGAAAAATACGAAAGGTTGCATGTATTGTACATAATTATATTCATTGCATAAAATTGTGTTCATTTGGGTATACTTATCCAGCATATCAGCAGACCTGTGCAGATTTTTTTTATATCATGTTTTTTTAGCGTAGCATTATTTCACACAGAATCGCGCTTTCACATAATGTTCACCCTTTGAGTAATAGTATTTCACAAAAATCCAAGAATTGCTTTTCTCATCTTTTATAACTTCTTGGGTATATAAGAGTTTAGATCATGTATAATAAATAACAACGACTTTTTATCAAATATACATGTTATAACCAAATTTAATATGTAGATTGATTTTCTTTTTTAAGTGAGATATCATTTCATTTCCTAAGGCTTTAAAACGGTATTGTATTACTCTTCTATCACTCAGTTCCCTTTTTAGTGCATGTAAAATTTTTTAAAATTGAAAATAAAACTCGGATTCCAGGATAATTTCGAACTCAAATCAGAGAATGAATTAAGAGTATTTTTAAGCGGTTAGCTTCGCTAACCGCTTTATGGCATGTGTCCGATTTTTATCGACACCGGAAACTTCCATAAGGCGCTACCTATCGACAACGGAAACTTCAACAAAGCCTCTACCTAGTACCTATGATTTGTTTCTAACACATAAAACATATGTTAAATAAAATCAAGACTATCAAAACAACATAATCTTTCGGTTTTTTAATTTTTTTCTGATTTTGCTTGTCAATGAAATAAATTTATAATTGTTGTATTAAAAAAAGTTTATGTATAGGAGCATTTGGTGTCGAGATTAAATTTCCGTGACATCAGCTGATTGCGATCGGGCCCTGTGACGAAATTCGAAGTCAGCATGAAGTTTAGCTGATAACATTATCAACGCGTTAGATTTAATGTGATTTAACCACTCAAGGTTAAATCCGTTTATCAAAGTGCCATCGAGCTTTTTATTATTTCGGTATTAGGAGGTATCCTTCCGGTCCCGGCCTTGTATTAGCGCCATCCTGTTCTCAGGGTTTTCGGGGTATTAGCCAAACCCATGCACTAAAACCTGTGACGTCGAGCGCAAAAAATCAAGTTTCTTCAAAATTTCAACGAGCACCCAAAGTCAACGACAATGCCAAAAAGAAAGCGTGATTCGACGCCATTACCAAGAAGGCGCACCAAGCGCAACGATGGCGCCCAGACCAGTCAAGGAGATGGTCAAACTGAAACCAGTGGAAGCATGGGACAGCCGTCCTTTAGCTTATCTAATGAGCAGTTGCAGCAGGTGTCAGAAGCTGTAGCAAACATCCTAAGCAAGCAGAGTGGGACAAACCCCCCAATGCCCATAGAGCCACTGGAAACCCCCATGGCCACACGGGAACAGAGTCAAGGTACAGAACCCGTTTTGATAAATGACAATTATCTTGCATTAACGACAAGCTACGACAATGATTTAGGCCATAAAGTATCAAATAAATTAAAACTTAAAATTGTTAATGGCGAGTACATCAATTTGGGCTTGTTGGTTGAAAATTCATATGGGGCCGATCCAAACGATGAGACCAGATATTTTTCTATGAAAGAGGGAAGCCTCACCCTGGCCCCCAAATCTAAAGCAAAGGTAATCAATGACATACAAGTATGGACAGATGCCTTTCTCATTTACGCATCGATATATACCTCAGCCCATCCCGAGAGCAGAGCTCAGTTATTCAAATATATTCATACTATTAGGTTAGGGGCAAATAGAGTTAAGACTCTCGGGTGGCGTGATTACGACATCCAGTTTAGACTGAAGAAGGAGGCTAACCCATCTCTCTCATTCGCTGTTGTCGATCAGGAGCTATGGCTCTTGTATATGTACAGTCCCCCTAGCACCCAGACTTCCTCACATCAGGCCCCCCTTCTAAAGTGTTATGAATTCAATTACAAGGGCATATGTAATAAGCTTGTACGTCAATACAAGCACGAATGTATGATATGTTCACAAAACCATCCCTACATTAAACATAAGACATCCTCAGGCTCTAGTTTGAATTTTAGGTCAACTGGTCTGCAAGCAACATGGCGGCCTCAGCTACCCAGGAGACCCGCGGCACCAAGTTCAGCTATTAGAGCACCTTATACCCAATCAGCTAGACCTCAGTAATATTGCAGCAAGCCCGATTAACGTACCGAGATTAGGCGATTTATTAGCAAATTACCCACTTGGCTTGGTAGCCTTAGAACTTTTGCAGGGTTTTACATATGGTTTTAGGTTGTGTTATGAAGGGCCTCGAGTGGCCACTGACTGTAATAATCTCAAATCCATGTCTGGGTTACAGTACGAAGCTATTCAGTTGGTCATTAATGAAATCATGTTAGGCAGAGTTGCAGGTCCATTCGATCAGCCCCCTCTACCGAACCTTAGGCTGTCTCCAGTGGGCATGGTACAAAAAAGGGGGGTTCTTATAGATTGATTCATCACTTGTCTTACCCTACAGGGTCTAGCGTCAACGATTTTATTAGTAAGGAACATTGCTCAGTTAAATACTCGTCATTTGACGATGCATTAGACATGCTTGCAAAATTAGGTCCAGGAGCACAAATTGCTAAATTAGACATAAAAAATGCATTTAGGTTATTGCCAATTCACAGAGCAGATTATGAATTATTAGGTTTTAAAATTCAGGGTATGATATTTGTAGATAAGTGCTTGCCATTTGGATGTTCTGTAAGCTGTTCCAAGTTTGAGAAGTTTTCTACCTTTTTAGAATGGGTACTTAAAAAGCAGGCCAAAAGCAACAATGTGGTTCATTATTTAGATGATTTCTTGGTAGCAGGTAGGGATGGTAGCCAAGATTGTGCTAGGCTTATGTCGGTTTTTAGTTCCATTTGTCATGAGCTGGGCATCCCCTTAGCGCACGAAAAAACTGTGGGGCCTACAAATATTTTGATTTTTTTGGGGCTAGAAATTAACACTCGAGAAATGACAATTCGCATACCATCAGACAAATTGGGACAGCTTAAGGACCAGTTAACGTATATATTATCCAAAAAGAAGGTTACATTGAAAGAGCTTCAGGCTCTTACAGGGCTACTGAATTTTTGTATAAGGGCTATCCCAGCTGGTAGGGCTTTTGTTAGAAGGCTTTATGATGCTACTTGTGGGCTGTCAGAGCCACATCACAAACGCAGGGTCAATTTAGAAATGAGGGCAGATATTAAAACTTGGCTACTGTTCTTAGAATGTTTCAACGGAGTCACTTCTTACAGAACTGTAGATTGGTCAAATGATTTTGACATGGAGTTGTTTACTGATAGTGCAGGGAACATTGAGTTAGGTTGTGGTGCTATTTTAGGTAAGCAATGGGCATTCCTGCAATGGCCATCACAGTGGAAAGGGCTAGAGATCATTAAAGACATAACATTTTTAGAATTAGTACCAATAGCTATGGCTTTCGAAATCTGGGGGGAAAAATTGGCTGGCAAAAAAGTTATTCTTCACACTGACAACCAGGCTCTGGTATCAATTCTTAATTCTAAGACATCAAAATCAAAAAGGGTCATGCGTTTGCTCAGAAAGTTAGTTCTTCAGGGGTTAGTGCATAACATCCAGTTTAAGGCAACTCATATCATAGGCCTGCATAATATCAAAGCAGATTCTATCTCTCGACAGCAATGGTCACGTTTCCGAGCCAGCTTCCCAGAGGCAGAGGATCACCCAACATTAATACCCTGGTCATTTCGGCAAGTGATCTGCGACATAGAGCTCATGAGCTCTTAAGCTATTCCATCTCTGACAGTACAAAGAAGTTGTATAACACTGCATTAAATGTATTCAATGATTTTCGCAAGCATTATTTTGACACAGAAGAGTGGCCTCCCCATTACAATCAATTAGTCGATTTTGTCTCCTACCTATCGTATAAGCAGTATTCCCCAAACACGGTTAAGTCGTACATTTCTGGGATATCTTATTTTTGTAAACTTCACAACCTTTCTGATCCAACACAATCATTCTTACTCAGAAAAACCCTGGTAGGGCTGGGCAGAAAGAATGTCCAGGTTGATGAACGTAAACCGGTCACTTTAACAATTTTGTCCAGCATCCTTAAGTTACTGCCCACAATATGCAAATCTCATTATGAAACGATGCTGTTCTCAACCATATTCTCAACAGCCTTTTTTGGTTATTTCAGAATGGGGGAGCTGGTTCAAAATTCAGTGCATGACCCTGGTCATGCTATTCAAGCCGGGGATGTAACCTATCACAAACAGACCAATAAAATCCTCATTGTCCTTAAACACTCCAAAACTGATCAAGAGGGGAGGGGGGCAACAATTTCACTAACAGCCACTTTACAGGCAGTATGCCCAGTGCGCTTAGTTTTATCATTTTTGCAACTAAGACCTAGCATCCCTACAGCATTTTTTTGCCACATCTCAGGTAGTCCAGTGACAAGGTATCAGGTGTCAGCTGTTTTCAACATGGCCTTAGACAAATTGGGGTTAAGCAAGCAAACTTATAAAACTCACTCCTTCCGCATAGGCGCAGCCTCAACTGCCTGGGCTAATGGGGCCAGTGAAAAAGACATTGCTAGTAAGGGCAGATGGAAATCTCAGTGTCTGTACAAGTACATAAGGAATTAATATGTTCATAACTCGCTAATTTTTCTGTTGTCAAATCTTTGTAGGTGTAAAGAGAATATGGATCATTGGGTCCTCCATTGTTAAACATGCATTTTATTATGCCAGAAAATCAGTATTTGGCACCAACTTAGAATTAGACCGGCACAATGCTACCATATTCTGGCAAGGCAAAGGGGGTATGAAGGTGGAGGACATCTTACCCAAAATTAGAACTTTACTCAAGGTAGAAAATGCTCCTCACATGTTAGTTATTCATTGCGGGGGAAATAACATTCCATGGTATAGTGGGGGTAAGTCAGCTGATCTACGTTTCAGATTAAAAGAAATATTACAAAAATTAGAAAAATTGCTACCATCAACTTTGCTTATATGGTCACAAATACTGCCACGTCTTCATTTGAGGGGGGGAATCAACCAGTCTGCTATGGAGAGAATAAGAGTCAGAGTAAATAGCCATGTGGCTACTCACTTGTTAAGGTCTGGGGGGAAGTACATCAGGTACCCAGAGTTACATAGGATCAACACAGGCATGTTTTCTAAAGATAAGGTTCACCTTTCTGAGATGGGTAATAACTTGTTTTTGTATAGGTTGCAACAGGCTTTGCAAGTGTTTTTGATTAATAACTCAGTCCACGTGTCCCCAAGAGATGGGGAAATTGGGCCATGGCTGCGCCATGACTAAGATTTTAATCATGGTAACTATTTTATTTACTGTCAATAGACTATTGAGGGTCTATTTATTTGTATTGGCATGCACCAAGTCAATTTTTGCTCTTGCTCATAGACTGTTGAGAGTCTATGTATTTGTATTGACACAGTTTCTTATTTTTCTGGTCATTTTATTTTAACAAATATTGATTATTGTCATAAATTACAATATTTGAGGACATAAACATGAGTTATGCAATCACCAATTTTAAAAATTTCAATCCCCCCTTTTTTCCCCCTGCCGTCTGACCCTACTGGTGGCGCAGCCAATGCTCAAAGCATAGGCTCGTGGCGGATATTTGGCTCACCAGTAGTGCCTAACCTTGATTCTTAATATATGACTTGGTGCACAATTGATTGAATTTTGCAATTATTGTCCAAGCAGGCGAGCATCTGTTCCCAGGGCTCTCCATTATGCTTGTTTTATTTGTGGGGACGCCACCAAGGCAAGAATTGATGCTGGGCTCCCTTATTTGTTTTAATGCAGCCGTGGCCTATATCGCCAAATAAATATAAATAATTAAATAGAAGCTTTTTGTTATCTTTGGTATAAAGGCCCAAGGTAAGGGCATCTTTTGATAATGTGATTTAACCACTCAAGGTTAAATCCGTTTATCAAAGTGCCATCGAGCTTTTTATTATTTCGGTATTAGGAGGTATCCTTCCGGTCCCGGCCTTGTATTAGCGCCATCCTGTTCTCAGGGTTTTCGGGGTATTAGCCAAACCCATGCACTAAAACCTGTGACGTCGAGCGCAAAAAATCAAGTTTCTTCAAAATTTCAACCCCTCCCAACCACGCCCTTTAATAAAGTAATATGTTAATGGAAACTATTTGCTGCTTTCTCGTGTTTTGTTCTGTTTTCTTTTTCAGACAATATAAAGAATTAATCCATATCCACAGCAAGGTCCCGTCCTAACCGTCACGGCTGTAATCACATTTTTCCTGGAGGAACACATTGCCCAAGCGGATATTTGGCTCACCAGTAGTGCCTAACCTTGATTCTTAATATATGACTTGGTGCACAATTGATTGAATTTTGCAATTATTGTCCAAGCAGGCGAGCATCTGTTCCCAGGGCTCTCCATTATGCTTGTTTTATTTGTGGGGACGCCACCAAGGCAAGAATTGATGCTGGGCTCCCTTATTTGTTTTAATGCAGCCGTGGCCTATATCGCCAAATAAATATAAATAATTAAATAGAAGCTTTTTGTTATCTTTGGTATAAAGGCCCAAGGTAAGGGCATCTTTTGATAAACTTTAGGAAGAAATGTATAGCGAGAAATATCATATTTGAACCCAATGCTACACGAAAACCAGTAGGCATTTCCGATTTATGTGTTAAATTGAAGCCTGAATCGAACAGGTGGTCAAAATGGCGTTGGACACCTTGTGTATTTATATATAGAGCGGGTAGAATGTTTCGATATTTGGCTAATTTAGAGACTTACTGATAAAAATTCAGGTGCCTGTGATTAATTATAAGGCACCCCTCATGAACAATAAATATTTGACCGAATTATGCTACTGGGCACAGGGAGGACGGGTTAATTACTGGCTAAAGGGGTTGAAGGTTATTACCAACTGCAAAACATCGGAGAATCTCTCGATCGAGTTTCATTTTCCAAAATATTAAGGCATCCCTTTAATTAACTAAAGTAATACTAGTACACGAAGAAAGCCTTTAAATAAAAATACAGAATACATCTGTAAGTTGTACAGTTATGGATTACTTCCATAATGAAACGTTTGTTTTCTTCTCCTTTTTTTCTCAATTGAAATTATTTAAAAGATGATAAAAGCTTTGTTTCCAGGGATAAATTCTGTACTCAGTCTAATTATTACAAACGATTTTAAACGATCACATTTTTATTTAAAAAAAAAATAATGGGAGCCTGAAAATACTAAAATTAATTTTAAAAAATTGGAGAAAAAAATTTAATCGGCATTCGATCCTTTTTCTAAAAATCAGCCGATATAAAATATGCACACAAAAAAGAGGTATGAAAAATCTTGACGATAAGCACAAATTGAAAATTATATCTAATGAATGATTATTTTTGAAAGTTTGCTAAATTCCTATGCAAGGTATAAGTTGTAAAAATACTTTTTAAATTTGAATTTGTCCAATTCGTTAATTATCATTTTGAGCCTTTGAGAAGAAAATATTCATTTCTTCAAAATGCTTAGATGACACAGAACGGATTTTTTTTTTAGATGTTAATTAAAATCAATAACTGTCAATACAGACTAACACTACACAGCCAAATGTAGACTATACATATACTGAATTGAGTAATATGTAAAAGAGAGAATATTTATATTTATTTATATTGAATGTGTAAATATGTTGATCTGGAGAGTGTATATGTCTCTGACGTCATCGATACTATTTCTGCGCCTTTATCTCGAAAGTTCTATTCTCATTCACAGGTCAGAGTTATCTTTCTTTACCCACCTTATACCTACGTAAATAGATAAAATGACGGTACCGGAAATATACAAAATGCAGAATCTGATTTAAAAACAAATTATATATATGCTATTTGTAGAATAATAGTTGTTTTACATAAAAATATCTTGAAAAAATATCTTAAAACAAAAAATCAAAAATGGAGCAAAAACAAATTCACTTCCGGTTCGGGCCGGAAGTACTGAAAACACACGAAAACAACTTCAAAACAAATAGAATATCATGACCTAATAATCTTGTAAATTCCATACCTTTACCTTAAACCCTTTAAGAGAAAAATGCCGGACAAAAGTCCATTTTAAAATTCGAAAATCGGTCATAACTTCGGACCGGAAGTGAATTTTTCAAAAAACGGAATTTTATATAAACTTCATATATAAACCTGCTAACATGAGAAAAATTGTGAAAATCTCTCCAACCATCTCTGAGTAATCGCGCTCACAAAATTTGGGAGGAATAATAATAATAATAAAAAGAAACAATACAAACACTATAAGTCTTCCGTTGTGAACGGAAGACTTAATAATAAGAAACAGAGTAAAAACAATATGTTCCCCAACTTCGTTTGGGGAACATAATAAGAAACAGAGTAAAAACAATATGTTCCCAAACTTCGTTTGGGGAACATAATAAGGCAGCAAAATTCAAATTCTCATTTCTCTACTAAGATTTTTACATCGGGCTCGGAGTTGGTTTTCTTCAGAAAGACAGGACTGGGTTCAAGGCGACTAGGGGTACCACACCGGTAATTGACCAATCAAAATGAACTTAGTCAATTGTAGGTCCATACATTAAGCCGATTTTCCTTTCTTTTGAGAGTTTTTTTAATTTCCTTCCAGGCCAGTTTGACAACTCTGGTACCTGTGCCTAGGAAATTTTATCTACTCTATAAATAAATAAAGTTTTTTGACAGGAACTATTTCTCCAGGGCATAGGAGGCTACTTCCTGGGGTGCTTTTGTGATGTTTATAAAGACATGGAAAACACGTGGATTTGAGGGTAGCCCTGTTTGCATATGCAAATAAATCAGAAAATGTCGTGTACGTACCCTGGTTTTTTGGTGTCAGCTAATGTGACAGGTATTGTTTAACACCCCCTTATCAATATTTTTTCATGAATTCAAACACGTGAGGTTTTACTGGAAAGAAACGTGTATTGCTTTTTAATATACCGAAACTCGCTATTTCTGGGGATTGTGTAATTCTAAAAAAAATTCAGATAAATTTCAATGGTGAAATAAAAGAAGAATGCTTGGTATTAAAATATTAATTCATATCAGTAGAATTGAATGCTATTAACGACATCTGGAGAAATAGGCTTTAAAAGGTTTATATCATATCTTTGTTCGTCTGCACTTAAATTTCAAACACGACAGAATTTGTAATTTTTGCCGTAAAAATTCATAATTTCTATATACTTTAGAGACTTACCGTAAAACTTTCAGGAAACTTTCTATGAAGTCTTTTCTGCACCTTAAGTGAAATTTTATGTCGATCCCAGGTGTTGATCGAGTTTCAGAGAAATTTTCTACGTTGTTATTGATTTTTTTTTTTAAGGAGAAGGGGGGGGGGGGTTGACTTTTTTATTCTAAGCATTTGTTAAAGTGAGTTTGTAAATACATCTACGAACTTGAGCTGGATTGTGACCTTTGGGTCAAGGGGTCAAGGTCAAAGGTCAAGGTCATCAAAGCATTTCATAAAGAAATATAAAAGTAACGGCCATATCAAGTATACAAGTCATTTGATCATTGCACGCGCGCGAAGGTGCAATGCATGAAAGCTATATCATCGTGACTACACTTTTAATGTGTTTCTATTCTTTGAATTTTGAAACGTTTCATAAAAAAATTACGACTATATCAAGTAAATCGGTCATTTAACGCATTGCGCGCGCACACGTGCATGCAAGTCCTTGCATTCAAGTTTGATAGTAGCATAATGTAAGAATCCGTCATATCTATTCATATTCTAAATTTCATCCTGTTTTGTTGAGAATCAAAAAAGTTATAGGCATTTAAAGTTTAAGCCAATCAGATCGCAGCACACGTGCATGGGCGTGGTTTCTTGAAAACTTTTATATATCATAGTTTAGGACGTATTAAGGTATGATTATGTTTTAAAATTCAAAGTATTTTGTCAAAAAACAAGTAAGATATTGAGATTTTTGTTTCAGCTAATCAGAGCAAAGCGCACGTGCATGCGCGTGCATGCATGTGCATGATGACCGTAACTTCTTATAGGAGTCTATTGTGTCTGTCTATGTTCTAAATCTTATCGTGGTTGGTTGAAAAACAAAGGAGTTACAGCCATTTGAAGTTTAAGCCAATCAGATTGCAGCGCACGTGCATGCGCATGCTTTCATGACAAATGTTATACATCATGTTGTAGGACATCTTAAAGTATGCTTATATTTTAAATTTCATACCATTTCGTCAAAAAACGGAAAAGATATTGAGATTTTTGTTTCAGCCAATCAGAGCGAAGCGCACGTAAATGCGCGTGAGTTCTTGCTAATTTGACAGTGTCACATTATCTACACTATTAATATATCCTTATATAATGAGTTTCAAAGCATTTCATCGGAAAATGTTAAAGTTATGGCTATATTAAATATATTAGTCATTTCAGTCATTTCACGCGCCCGCACGTGCAGGCGTATGCGCGCAAAATGACCTTCGTTCCGCACACCTACACAACACACCTATTAACCCTAAAAAGGTTTTAGCTCAGTTGGGTGAACAGTTTCTGAGAACACTCGCGGACAAAAAAGTACCGGAGAAGAAATAAGAAGAAAAAAGAATAATAATAATAACTAGAAAGTCTGCTATTGCAAGCAATAGCATATGTCGCCCCGTACTGGACAAGACTTTCATTTTAATCATCACTTAAACAAAAGTCAATTAGCTAAGTTTGAACAACCATCGAGTTGTATCAGTCATTTCCATTGGAAACGGAAGACCTTAATTGGGTACATCCCACTAATTATTTTTAGAATTGGTAGGAGAAGAAAGTAGTGCAGGAAAATTACAAGTTCCTAAATTTGCAGACTTGCATAAAAGAAATCTGGCAGATGTACTGAACTGAGCCTCATACTTGTTAATTGGCAGTATCTTTCCCATCATAAAAGCTTGGGAAATGTAATTTATGAAGAAGATCAGCCGAATTATTTTGTGTATTGTAACGCCAGTGAGAACTCTGAAATTTCCCTCTTTCACTTTCATTTTAGAGGTTCTACCGAAAAACGAATCTGACATGCCACCATCAATTCGAGCATTTCTGCATTGCAGAGAGCTGATGTGTGTTATGAGATGATAAATCATGTGTGAACTTTCTCAGTTTAGCGGAATCATGAACATTTTCGGCGAGATGAATGTTTTGTATACAGTGGTGATCAAGGCTTTGCGAACCATCAGGAGCGGATCAAAGAATTTATGAATGAATAAAAACTATGGAAATGACGTACCATTTTTTTAATTTATACTTGCACTATCTAATGAAATGAATAATATACAAGTGATAGATATACAAGAAAACGCGAAATGATAATAAATGCAGCTGACAATCGTTATTTTTTTTTATATAGATAAAATAAAATATTTATAAATTCAAGAGACAAAACAGAAGGAGAATGAATGATGGCAAAATATCACATGACGGGAACAGAATTTTATGAATGAAGATTTTAAAAAGTTACTTGTAAGTTGTATATGTTATATCTGTGTATTCTACTTGGCTGTGTGCTTCAAAAAAAAAAAGGGGGGGGGGTCGTCT